GAACGATTTGGTGACTATGAGCTTTATTCAGCCTATTGCTTATTTAGTGCAGAAGAACAAGAACCAGAGACCTATAACGAAGCAATGTCAAGTGATGGTTGGAAACAAGCACTACAAAGTGAACTATCAGCTCTTGAAAAGCACAAAACATGGGAATAGGAAAAAAAGCAATAGATACACGTTGGCTATCTAAAATTAAACCTAATAGTTATAAGAAGGCGAGACTTGTGGCGAAAGGGTACCAGGAAGATTTTCACTTCAACAATTATGCACCAGTTGCAAGGTATTCAACAATTAGAATGTTCATTGTACAGGCTTTAAAAAATAAATGGCATATCAAACAATTGGATATATGTACCTACTGCATTTCTGCATGGAAAGCTGAACATAGATGTGCACAGAAAAATAACTTGAAACGTTCAAGACATGACTTTTGCTTATATATAGGCGAGAAAGTCTGGTTTACTGTGGGTGGATGACATCATCTTAACAGGACCCAACAGTGATAAGATATTAAAAGCTTTACAAGAAGAGTTTTCTGCTAAAAGTCTTGGGAACATTAAACATTCCTTGAGAATGGAAATAGAGACTAAAGAGAACTTAGTGCACATCTTACAAAAAGGACTTATTGAGAAAATGCTAGAAAGATTCAAGTTGGAAGATTGCAAAACTATTTTCACACCTATTGAACCAAATTTTCAAAAAGAGGGTCAACCAGTTAGAACTAACATATACCTTACAGAGAAATTATTGGTTCATTATTATACCTAGCTACAATAAGCAGACCAGATATTCAATACGCTGTAATTTATGTGAGTAGATTTCTAGATAAACCTACAGAACAAGAATGGACAACTCTTACACTGATGCGAATTGGGGCAGTGATCAATTAGATAGAAAAAGTGTCAGTGGTTATGCAGTGTTTATGAACAAAAACCTAATTTCATGGGGCTCGAAAAAAACAAAATGTTGTTGCACAGTCGAGCCATGAATCAGAATATCTTGCCAGTGCATTGACTGTTTCAGAACTTATTTACTTATAAGGCATTTGCAGTGATTTTTCTATAGAAAATATGGAATCATTACTTACTTTTAATTGACAATCAAGAGGTGCTTTAAGGTCTATTGAAAGTTTCGAAAAGATCAAAACACATAGATATTAAAGCACGCTTTATTAAGGACTGTGTGGCATAAAGGAGCTTTTTATCTTAAAATATGTCTCAACAAATGAAAATGTTGCAGATATTTTAACTAAGCCGCTACCTACCTGAATTTAAATTTGAATATATTTCAGGAATATGTTGAATGTAATTTAATAATTTTCATTAATTTTGTTTGGTGTAGGTAACTTTATGATATTATTTATTATTATTTATTTTTTTTATATTGTTTGAAAAAACTATTTTTATTTTGGTCAATTGTGGACAATGTAAAATTGTAAATGCTTTCAAACTTTTTATGTAGAAAAGGCTTGTGCTGCCAACATAGTTACTAAATTTTTGACTTGGGGAATTATCTTAAAAAAAAAAACATACTTTAATAGAAACCAATACGTTATGACAATATCCTTGCCTCATGACGTCATTTTCATTATTGACCTAGGTTTTTTTTTCATTATTTTCATTATTAACCTAGGGAGAGAAATTCAATTTTTTCCCAGAAACATAGATTGAATAATAACTACTTCTCAGGTTAGTAGTAAAAAAATGTTATTGCATTTGGAATTTTGTGAATATTAAAATGTAATCCATACACACTGATTTAAACTATGTTAAATGTCCTTAATAAATTGTATGTGAAACAAAAAATAATGTTAGGGAAAGAGTGCCTGATTATGTTCGTAATATAGATAAAGGGTTTCAAGAGAAGTCCATCATCATTATAACACTAGAAATTGCAATGATTTTATACTGATGAGAGTGTGTAATTCTAGTCTTGTGTTTCACTCTATTTTTCAGAATTTAATGGCTTGCCTTCTACCATTAAAAACTATGATAGCATTGTATTGTTTAAGAGACTTTTGAGAAATTTTGTTATGTCCAGGTTTTGACTTGAGGCTCCATGTGTTTTGTTTTTATTTATTTTTTTAATTGTAAGTATTATTGTAGATAGATTTTATCTTTTTGCCTTGATGTTCCTAATTGTAAATTTTTCCATGAATTTTTTAGTATATTGCCTGTAGTATTATACTTAATATATTATTTATATTTATATTGTTTTCTGAAGCATTTTTGCTAAATAAACGATTATTTCATTTCAGTAAGCTTTTTATACCAACCATTTCTTTCTCATCTTGCCTTGAATTTTAGTTTTTTTCTAAATCTCTTAAAATTCGACAAAATACATATATGGAATCTTGAAATAGGAAAACTAAAATTTTACTTTGTCTTACTAGTTTTCGCTCAATTTGCCTTAAATTTCCTCTTCATTTTTCATTTTCTCCGTCTCAATTTTTGTCTATTCTTGGCTCTTGAATTTCAGTTTTGAATCTGAATCTATGAAAAAACGCACTCAGAAAAATTGAAAAATTGATAAATTTACCCTAAATTGCTTAACACGATTTTATTTCTGGAACTATAACTCCAAATGAGCTGAAGTTTTCAGGGATTGTAGTCCTCCACTAGGATAAGAAACGCTGAAAATTTCAGCTTTCTATCTATAATAGAAAAAAAGTTGTGACCTTTCAAAGTTTTCCAAAATCTAAATCATAACCTACCTTCTTCCAAAAACGATGAAATTTTAAAAAAAAATTGTTGAGGTTTTGTGTTCTAATAATCCGTTGGGATCCCTTTTAAGCTCCAAACACTTGATTATTCTGAGATTTGGAGCCAGATTCTATGGAAAAGGGCACTCAGAAAATTGAAAAATTGATAAATGTACCCTAAATTGCTTAACACGATTTTATTTCTGGAACTATAAGTCCAAATGAGCTGAAATTTTCAGGAATTGTAGTCCTCTGCTGTATTAGGAATTGCTGAAAACTTCAGCCTTTTATTTGTCATAGAAAAAAAGTTATGACTTTTCGGGGATAATACCACGAGAGCTTCAAAATTACCGATAATTTTTCACGATTGCAGAGAAAACACGCATGAGTGAAAAATTATCTGGTTAATTTTAAAACTCAAGTGGTATTTAGAGGATTATTTCACGTATGAGAATGCAAAAAATATGGAAATAAATACAGGGTGTCTCACGGTGGATGGCGTATTAGACGTTTATGGAGAACTAAAAAGCGGATCATTTTGAAAATTTGGCAACCGGGATAAACGACCATGATTTACACATTAAAAATATTGTTGTTTATGCGTTGTTGCCGCTTCTACTCTAAACCAGTGGCAACAGCGCTATTTTAAATGGAACACCCTGTATGTGATTACATATTTGGATTTTACGTAAAATTCTGAGCAAATTTCATGTAATATACCCTATACTTAAGTTCAACTGTTTTGGAAATATTGACAGTTGAAAATTGACTTTTTGCAACTTTGACAGGCTGTAAAACCTGAACGGTTAATTTTTGACACAAACCGATTTTACATTCCTATCTTAGATTTTCATGAATTATCATTTGACACCAACTTTAAATTTAATCGGAGATTAAATTTAATTGGAATTTTCAATCATGGATTAAGTTTGAAGTTGGTGTCAAATGATAGTTTATGCAAATCTAAGATAGGAATGTAAAATCGGTTTTTCTCTAAAATCAACCGTTCAGGTTTTACAGCCTGTCAAAGTTGCAAAAAGTCAATTTTCAACTGTCAATATTTCGAAAACAGTTGAACTTAGGTATAGGGTATATCACATGAAATTTGCTCAGAATTTTACGAAGAATCCAAATATGTAATCACATACAGGGTGTTCCATTTAAAATAGCGCTGTTGCCACTGGTTTAGAGTAGAAGCAGCAACACCGCATGAACAAAAATATTTTCAAAGTGTAGATAATGGTCGTTTATCTCGGTTGCCAAATTTTCAAAATGATCCGCTTTTCAGTTCTCCATAAACGTCTAATACGCCATCCATCGTGGGACACCCTGTATGTATTAAATGATTTGAACATCTAAACAATCAATACAAATAAATGGTTGCTATCAGGAACCGTTTGTTTGTATCAAAAATTAGCATGACAACCATATATAAAATAACATGGGAGAATTATCTCTGTAATTCTCTCTAGTTAAACAAATGGAAAAGAGAATTTTCGCTGTAATTCTGAAAATCGTCACTTGTCTTATGGGATTTCTAACACATGAGTGGAATAATCAAAGTTATCCAAAATCTTAATCATAAGGTACTAAAACGATGAATTTTCAAATAAATCAAGTAAATTCAGAAACATTGACGATGTATTATGAAAGCCTAGAAAAAGTAACACAAACTGTTTAAGGTACAAAAGTTTTCTTTTGAATTACTTATTGAAATTCATCAGATTGACTCTATTTGTCGTTCCGATTTCTGAAGCTTGTAATGTTTTTGGAAAAATAATGAAATTTGCAATTCCTTGAGGTTCAAACAAGTTTCTTTCAATTCTAAAAGAGTTGAAACGTTCCAAAAAGTTCAAGAGTAATACAAACTGGTTAAGGCATTAAATTCAAAAGTAACACAAACTGGTTAAGGCATAAAAGTTTCCTTCTGAATTATTGAAACTCATCAGATTGACTCTATTTGTCCTTCTGAAGCTTGAAACATTTTTGGAAAAATGATAAAAATTTGCAAATTTATTTCATTGATGTTCAAATGAGTTATTTCTACTTTCCAAAGAGTTTAGGAAAGTTTGAAAAATTCAAAAGTAACAAAAATAGTTTCCTTTTGAATTATTAAAACTTTCCATGTTTTGAAGACTGTAATAATTTTGGAAAAATGTTGAAATTTATTCCCTTTATGTTCAAATGAGATTCTTCTACTTTCCGAAGAAATTAAAAAAACTAATAAAAATTCAAAACTAACAAAAACTGATTAAGGTTTTGATACAAGTTTTCTTTTGGGGCCAAAATAACTCACCCAAGTTTCTTCCTTCCTAGTTGAACTCCTTAAAAAAAACACAAAATAAAAAAAAAAAAAACTTAAAACCCAACTGATAGTAAAACGCTATAAAAGAGAAAACTGCTTCTTGTCGGTAAGAAGTCAAAATCAAAACAAAATTCAAGCCTACTATTTCTTGATCCCAATATTTAATTCTTCGTGTCCTTACCCAACGTTTTTACCTTTCGCTCGCACCCAATACTCGAGCCATCTAAAAAGAGAGCCACAATGATCAAACAAAATAATTGGGGAAATAAAGGGGGGACCCCAACGCATACACACACATGACGTCGGTATGATTACTTTGAACGCAGGGAAAAAATCTACTATAGCGTGTCTTTCATATGGGGAAAACCGTATATGATTTTGTCAGAATGTGTCAATTAATCATAAAAATTCTTTTTTTTTTTATACCTAGGTAGGTATTTGAGAATTCTTATATTCGAAATTTATAGTTTTTTTTGTTTGTTGCTCCACTAATTTAAGGAACTTCTCAAATATCAAAATAATTACCTACATCATTTGCAAGGAAATTCTTTGAACGACTTATTGGAATTTTGTCATTTCCAACAATTGTGATTGAAATTTCAATAACTACTGAAGAAACACTTTTGGGCTTTTCCCTTTTAAACAAAACCAGTTTCAAGCCCATAAAACTACCTTATGTGCTGGTTGAGGCGGGTTCAAAGAACCATAAATTCAATATATGCAAGCGCGTCTTGAAGTAATTTCCACCCACCTACTTCCTAGAATGTGACATTGCATCAATTTTTATTTTATGCACCTCTGGTTTTTCCCATAATAGCTTTACAAGAATAATGCATAGTCATATAGTCAAAATGCCAATAGGGATTAGGTATTCAGTATAATTGTTCAATAATTATACGTTTTTCCTACTTACCATTACTTCCCTTTTGAAGTAATAATATAAGACACTAATACCACATAATAATGCAATTATAAAATCACCTGGCAGAATTATACGCAATTTATAGGCATTTTTTTAAAAATTGCACTGTATTGTTCTACGAGATTTTCCCGTTCACATTTTTCTATGGGCTTGGTTGTCGGGAAAGTAAACTCGGGTTGACATCTCTATGTTAATATTTGTGTGTCTTCTCTGTAAAAATGTCGTTTGATTATTATCTAGGAAAAACCAAAAATGCATTTTAAATTCAATATACCTATAGGTAATACAGATTAGAAGTAAATTCTGTAGATACAGTCTATTTAGAACCTTGGAATTTATACAAACAAAATTATTCTCTATTTATTATAATCAAATTTCAATAACAAGTTTTGAGTATCTATGTTTCCCAGAATTTATTCAAAAACTATTCAATATGTCTTTTGAAAATGCTTTAAATTTATTGCATAGGATTTGAGGTAATATATAATAGGTAAATACAGAGTTGTCAATATTTGAAGTAAATTACTACTTGAAATTTACTTGAATTACTTTCTTTGTTATGTACGTGTACTTGTACTTCCAATATCTATTCTAAAATATGTACTTGGATTTTTACTTGATTATGTCAAGTATTTAGCTTGAAGTATTTTGAGTAGGATAAATAAGTTTCTTGATTTTCTTTGAATAATAATTTTTTTACAGTTCACAACTATATTACCAAATATTAAAATATGACAAACAATTTCGAACGTTTAGTTAGTACAGGCTATTTGATTATATTTAAGCCCATACCTACCTTTATATAGAGAATTTAATGTTCTTTACAATGGTGTATAATATATTTCAATTTGCTCAAAATTTAACCAAGATATGGGCAATTGCTCATGACCATGTCAAGATTTTGAAAATTTTCCAGAGCCAAAAATAGGATTTTCTTTTTATTTTTGTTTCTGCTTAAAATGGCCATTTGGAAATGAATCCAGGATTGTTTTCCACTAATTTTGAACCACTCTATCGATTGGTAAAGTCAAAATTGAGTAAAACTGGGAAATGGAAAAATCGAGTTTTTTATAAGGGGTACCCCTTTGAATTTTAATTCCAAAATCTTCAAACATGAAATGCTCGATAACCGTTGTTCAAATTGCATTGACATTTTCTGCATTGGTAGCTCTTATTAAGCTACAAATTGTCTGTAATTTACAATATTCCCAGGTTTATAGTTTTTGAGCAAATTGAATTTGAAGTTTTTGTCGACTAAAAATCAACTTTGAAGCTCAATTACTCGAAAACTATTTGAACTATTAAACTCAATTTTGCACGGATTGGATTGGACGGTTTGTTTCAATTTGCTCAAAATTTAACAAAGATATGAGCATTAAATCGTCACTTTTATCTGCATTCAGCAACATATCCCGAATAATACCTTTCAATACTAGTGCTACCTACAAAATTGGTAGCATTATCTGAATATATTCTACTACACAGGCGACGCCTGGATACAAATCTTTTGAGACAATTCAGAAAGGAATTTGTACCGAGGTCGCCTACCAGCTCGATATGTACTGCCTTTGTACAAAAACATACAAATAAGCACATATATCCCTTCACAAGTGCCCTATTTCTTAATTTTCCATCTTTTATATTGAATGGCCCTGCGAAATCTATGCCCACAATAGAAAACGGTCTTTGAGGATTAACTCGATCTTTGGGTAGATTACCCATTTTCTGTCTTGAAATTGAAGGTTTGATTCGAAAACAAGTGATACATTTTGAAAGAACTCCCCTTATAGTATTTTTCCCATTTATAACCCAGTAATTTTGCCGTAATGAAGCTAAAAGGGTTTGAATTCCTGCGTGCATATTTTTGTGGTGTTGATCAAGAACAATTAACTTAGTAAATGGATGATGCTGAGGTAGAATAATTGGAAATTTGGTGTTGTATTCTAAATTTGATTCGCGAATTCGTCCACCTACTCGTATTAGTTTATCATTGTTATCATAAAATGGATCTAACGATTTAATAGGACTTCTTACAGGTATCGGTCTAGTCTAGAAGCTTTTAATGCCATTATTTCTTCCCTGAATTTTTGCTCTTGCATAATGTGTAAAAGTAACTTTAAAGTAGATTCATATTCAGAAACATCAATTTTTCCATACTTGCGTTGATTGGGAATTTTAATTTTACAGTTTTCAATAAATTTCCTACATAATGAGATAATTTTGATTAATTTGTATAAAGATGAGAATTTTTTGAAAAATGATAAGTCTGTTATAGTACCAGCAAGTGAAACCCGCCTTTTCCGTTCAGGCAAGGTTGCTAAAGGCTTAAATGATGCCTCAGGCCAGTTTTCAGGACTTGAATACAGCCAATAAGGCCCATTCCACCATAATTTAAGATTGCCTAGTTCACTGGGATTGACTCCTCTTGATATCATGTCTGCATGATTCTGACTAGAAATTACATGACCCCAATAATATTCCTTTGTACTTTCCTGAACCTCAGCAGCACGATGCGCTACGAACGTTTTCCAGTTGCTTGGTTGTTCTCTAAGCCACGAGAGTACAATTGTTGAATCGCTCCACAAATGAATCTTTGTGAATTCAATATCCAAAGCTAAACTACCTTAGTTACAAGCCTTGACAATAAAACCGCACCCAACAATTCAAGACGAGGTAGAGTCAAACTTTTAAGTGGAGCCACTCTTGATTTGGCACATACTAAACTAATTCTTATTCCACCTTTGTCATTCGATGATCGCATATAAATACATGCTCCATACGATTTCTCGCTGGCGTCGCAAAACCGGTGAAGTTGTACATTATTAAAATCATGTAGCATAAACTGGCGCGGAATTTTTATCTTATTAATACATGGAAGTTGATTGTAAAATTGATTCCAGGCAGAAAAGATATCTAACGGTACAGCTTCATCCCACCCCAATTTAAGCATCCATAATTTTTGCAGAATAACCTTGGCTACTATGATTACTGGACCTACTAAACCCAGAGGGTCAAAAATTTTTGATGTTATAGATAAAATAATCCGTAAATTATTATATTGTGATTTAATATTGGTTTCTATTCGTTCTTTGATTTGTGTCATTGATTTACCCACGCCTGCTATGGGAATATTAATCCTATTTGATTTTAAACTCAATTTATGTACTAAGTCTTTACGAATAAAATTGATTTGAGATCCACTGTCTAACAGAGCTCTACATTTTACAAATGCTCGTTCATGATTTTGAATTTCTATAATAGCTGTAGACAAAAGAATCTGAGACTCACCAAAATTAGCATTAAATGTAGTTGCCACAATGGAAGGTTCAAAATTATCTCATCACTATCAATTTCTGTCTTACCAAGATTCACCACAGGAGTTGCAGTCCCTGACCTTTCTTTACAAAGTATAGTATTGTGCTTAGCCTTGCAATTTTTACATCCCTCAGATAAACAGTTATAAAAATAATGATTACCTCGCAAACAATTGAAGCAAAGTTGCAACTTTTTAACCTCCCTTATTCTATCAGAAACAGCCAAATTTAAAAGTTTTTCACACTGATATAATATAAAATGAGTTCCCTTGCAAAACATACATGATGCTCGACCTCTTGACCTTGCTTCGCCTAAAGTTGTCCCATGAGCTAACCCTTTTCCGCGATTTACATAACTTCCACCATATTTTTCTTGTTTTTGTGAAGATGCTAGGTCAACTCTCAAATTATCTGATTTAGTATTGATTTCAACGTTCTCTAAAATGCGACATTTGTTTGAAATAAATTCAGTAAAATTATTAAGATTAGGATGACCTGAGAACCTTGTAATCGTTAGTTCCTCCCATTCTTTTCTTGTTTGATAATCAAGCTTTCCAGAACAAATAAAAATTAATAAGCGATCCCAAGTATCCACAGGCTCCCTCAACGCCTTTAAAGCCCTCAAGTTACGTTCTAAATTATTAATCAAATTTCTAAGTTGGGTATAGGATTGTTCATTGATAACATTTGCTTCAAATATGGCCTTTATATGAGATTGAATAATCACCGGCTTATTATTAAACCGATTCTCTAATAAGGACCATGCAATCCCATAATTTTCCCTAGTAATCTCCAAGGAATCTATAAGAGTCTTAGCATCACCTTCAAGTGTTTGCAACAAGTAGTACAACCTTTGAACATCATCTAAACAATTATTTCTTGATATTAAAGTGTCAAATGTTTCTTTGAATTGCATCCATTTGCAAAATTCACCACTGAAATGGGGTAGCCCCAAATTTGGTAGTCTAGCTCCTCCTGGCATAGAATTTTCCCAGAATGTATTTTGAGGACGAGGAATATTTGCTGAGGCTGCGTTTGGAACAAAAGAAGAAGTTGAATCTTGATTTTTAGCTTTGAAATTTTCCATGTACTTTTTAGCTTCTGATATAATTTGAAAAAATGCATCCTCGAAGTTGTCGGAGACAACTACATGCTTGTCTACCAGTTCAATTTCTAGGTCGATATCATTAATTTGATCTAAAATAGGTTCGATTTTTTCAATGCGCATAGATAATTGGATGATTTTTTCTACCTCGTCGGTAGTAATGATATCGGCCAAAAAGTACCTAAACCTTTCGAATTGACCCAAAAGTTGTTTTCGTTTTACTAACAAATGTTCAACTGACTCTTTGTTTTTTTCTTGTTGTAGATGTCCATTTCATTTTCTACCCATTTTGTAAGTGACCCACAAATTAACCAGCTATGAGTAAT